ATGGGGCCTTGGCTGGCCTTTTATATGACTTAAATCAAAGTCCTAAACCCTAAAATTTACTGAAAAGTCGTCCAAGAAGTCTTGGTAAACAAGGAATCCAAATAGGAAAGTAAAGATCACAATTCCTAACTCCACAGGGAAATACAGCTCAGCCCAATTGTCACACGATTTGGGGATCTTCGGCCTTCTAGAAAAATCAGGAAAAATATATTTTAGAAAGATAAATGTCTTATCTTTCCAACCATATATAGCACATAACTTGGAAAATTCGGGAAGGCTTCCGTTTCTTCATATTCACGTAACATGTACGAAACTGTCCTGTCTGCACGTGGGCTAACTTTACTTGTAATACTGTACCAATTGGCTCGGTAGAAAATTCTGGAAAAATCACAGATTCAACTTCAAGGTGTTAGCTTTCATCTCCAATTGACCTTGCACTAAAATTCCTCCGAAAAGTTGATTTTCCCTTAAAAACCTTCTAAGAGCGCAGAAAAGCTGAAAATCAGAAAAGTGAAGTAATAAGCCCTTTTTAAGTCTAATTCTTCTACAAAACCTAAGTAAAGAGAGTACATAAATGAGTATATTTATGGACTTATCAATATGATGAACTTGTCCCCTTGAACCAAGAATTATGCCGTGAAGACTTATATCCTTCAACTGTTGGTGAACTTTTGAGAATCCATGCTCAACTATGCGTTTTTCATAATAAAGGGCAAGTTTTCCATGACCAATGGATTGAGCATTTCTTTCATGGGGAAGCCATATATGGTGCTGCTGGGAATAGCAATAACATAATTCCCAAACATAAAGCCGAAGACTTCAAACTTCCCTTGAACATTTCACGAGAAGGACAGTTGGCTGCTTTCCTAGCCTTTTGGCTTAGCCGTTTTGTCTTGCCCCTTGATAATACTATAAGGCCAGAATGTTTCTATATGGCAAGTTTGATGGCGCAAGGGTTCAGAGTTTCACTTGCTCCAGCAGTGTTGGGACTTATTTATCATGCCCTTGGTACGGTTGCCACACATCGTAGAGGTCCTGGCTTAGCTAATGCATATCTTCCCATTCATTATGTGATTGGATGGTTAGGGGAGCATTTTCCTGATCTAATCGATCGTCAATGTGATAATGACTTTCCAGCACATTACCCTTTTTTAGCGAGGTATAGTTAGATTGAAGCCAAATATGTCAGCTCCAATCAAGCTAGAATCATCTTCAAGAGTGAGTTTATGGTTTATCGCCCCAGCGTCTTCCTTGCACATGAAGACTGCATCCTTTTAGACATGGAGAGTCTTGCAGATGATGCCTTTGAGTTCTTGATTTGCATACGCTCTGCACTGCTTCTTGTAAGGGTAGGTGGCGATCTTTGGTTGGAGCCTTACTACCCAAACAGGTTTGCTCGTCAGTTTGGCTTTGATCAAGGAGTTCCTGCAAACAAGCTTCTATTTAGTGTCTGTGAGAGGCAACGGTGTGGGATTGAGAAGTTGGCGAGAGCCCAAGCGGTCCTTCTACGCAAAGATACCACGCCGCGCTTCTATATTCCATGCTCCACCCGCATTGGAGAATGCTCTTGGTGGTATTGTAGATGGTGGATGATTGCATGTGCACCTTACATGGGCTTTTCTGTGTCAAAAATTTTCTCAGTGGTAGACAGGCACGTCCCAAGGAAGGACCGCGTCTTTGTGACTGATAATTTGAAAAGTATCTCGACAGGCATGAGCAAAAGAGGCTTCAATTCATCTTCACCTCCTCATGGTGCTTCTTTTGGCAGAGGACACAAGAAGAGAATTCGTAATGCTATAGGGCACCACTTCTCTAGGGTTAATCCTGCGATGCACCACTCCCCAAGGGTTAATTGAGACTCACACCTCAAACGGGCACGTCATGACAATCAAAACAGGGTTGAGGTTGGAAGCTCTATCCAGGTACCCGAAGAAGAGAGTTCTAATCCGATGCAAGGGAAAATGAGATTTGATGATATTGCTTTCCCTCACGAAATGGAGCCTATTAAAGCAGATAACCCAACTTTTGAGTTCATTTCTTCAGGTGAAGAGGAATACATTCTTCATGAGAGCGCTAACTCCAACATGGGTGACAGTGGGTCAAATCCCTTGGCTGAAGAATCTGAATTTCAACAAGTTTAGAATAGCCCAGCCGATGACCCATTTCCTGAAGGTGTAGGGCCCATAGCAGTTGTGCGACCCCTCCAAAATTTGGTTTCAGTAGAGAATTTTGTTTGTCAGATCCTTGGGAATGGAGTGAACTAGAGTAGGCGGGAGTTTATCAGTAGAGAAATTGAAGGTATCTTCAGCCGACTTTACTCCTCAGAGACACCTGTTCAACTTCATATGCACCGTTCCGAGATCATCCAAGCCCATCGACTTTTGGGGTCAACCGTTGACATTCTTGGGCATGGTGAAACTGCATTCAAGCAGTTTGCCCAACTTGTGGACTGGATTTTTGAGCTTGCCAGGCGACATTCCGAGAGTAGTGCTTATATTGAAGCCTTAGGAGATGTGAATGTTGATGTGATTCACGATTTGATTCGTCGGCACGAGGAATGTTTAAACACCAAGCTGGCTCTTGAGACAGAACTTACAGAGGTTGCTAAAGAGATTGAAGACTTAGATGTCAAGGAAGCTACCATCAGGGAAGCAGAAGAGAGAGTTCGTCTAATGCGGGAAGAGCATGAAACTAAGAAAACCTTCCTTAGTATGCAAAAGATGAACTTGGAGATTTCTTTGGAGCATCAGAATGAACAAGCGATACAGCTTCAACAATCCAGAATTAATGCTAAAGAAGATCTACTTCCCCATATCGGGAGCACTCGACGGTCAATGAAGGTTCAAGAGCAAGAGATCCATCGTCTGATCAATGCCCTGTTTTCTTCTTGTAGCGAGCTCTAGAAGATGAACCTATTATTATTATTTTTTTGTTTAGCATGCTTTTTCCTTTCAATAAGCGTTCTTGTAGGCCTTTGTTTCAGTATTCTTTGCTCATGTAATGTTTTTTTTTTTTTTCACCAAGAACAATTTTCAGAATAAAGATTTTGCAGGATTTTGCTTTCCTATTTCACAGTTTATACTCATGTGAAGTTGGAGTTCTTGGATAGTATACAGCAGTTTAACCACGTGCTAATACCATCGGTGAAAAAAATGAATTTATGATAATTTATGGTTGCACCTAGCTTTTGGGCTAGCTTGCCTACGTACCCTGTGAAGGGATCAAGCCGAACGTAGTTCACCCTCCTTGAATTGAGATAATGAAGGGGGATTTTGGGTCTTGTGACTGAATCTAGCTTTTGAGGGACTAGACTGCCTACGTACCCCTTTTGAGGGATCAAGTCACCCGTAGTTCTTTGCTTGGGCCGCCCTTTTTCAACCCACAAAGCTTTTTTTTTTTTTTGGGTGCTCTAATTTTTGCTTAGACCGCCCTTTCGGGTTTTCAGCCCAACAAGCATTTTTTAACATCAGGCATAAAACTTCTTGACAAATTTCCCATTCACACAAGAATATATGCACTTGCCTTCGGAGTTTGACAACTTGTAAGCACCCTTGGAGAAAACCTTAGTAATGACGTAGGGCCCCTCCCACTTGGGCTCAAACTTACCATGCATTTTCCTGGTAATGACAAAGGGTCTTCGGACAGTTAAAACAAAATCTCCAATTGAAAAAGATCTGAACTTAACTTTCTTGTTGAATGCCCCTGCAACCTGAGCTTGGTATATTTCGAGCCTTTGTTGAGCTGCCAGTCTTTTCTCGTCTAGAGCTTCCAATTCTGCCAGTCTCACATTTGTGTTTTCGTCGGGGTTTGTTAGCTGTTAAGCTACCCTTAACGATGACAATTGGACTTCCAACGGTAGAACGGCCACGGAGCCAAACACCAGATTGTATGATGTACATCTTGTTGAGTTGCGTATGGTCGTCCTATAGGCCCATAATGCTTCGGGAAGACGATCATGCCAGTCTCTTTTATTTCCTAAGACCATCTTCTTTAGGATATTACACAAAACCTTATTGAAAGCTTCAGCTTGTCCGTTTGAGGACGGATTGTAACTCGCGGAAGACGAGTGTTGAAACTTGTACTTCTCGCACAACTTGGTCATGGACTTGCACTTGAAATACAATGCATTGTCATAAATTATCTTCGATGGAACCCCATAACGGTAGATGATGTGATTCCTTATGAAGTTTGTAACATTGTCTGCTCGTACCTCCTTTAAAGGAATTGCTTCAGCCCATTTAGAGAAGTAATCGGTCGCGGCCAAGATGTATTGATGTTGACGTGATGACTTAGGCTTTATCATGCCAATAACATCCAATCCCCAAGCTTCAAATGGCCAAGACAAAGTTGTTGGATGCAATTGTTGGGGGTGGCTGGTGTATAAAGTCCCCATGCAACTGGAAATCTTTACATGTGGTTGTAAATTTCATTGAGTCTTGGACCATTGTTGGCCAGTAATAACCCAATCTCTTCAGTTGATTTGAGAGTTTTGGACCGGCTTGATGAGCACCACAAGTGCCAGCATGAGTATCATGAAGGGCTTTAGTTGCGTCTTGTTTCGACAGACACCTTAACAACATACCATCAAATGACCGTTTGTACAAGGTGTCGTTTAAATACAGAAACCGGATGGCTCTGCGTCGGATTTCAGCCTTTTTTCTTGAGTCATTTGGCAACTTGCCATGTTGGATATACTCGATTATGGGATGGCGCCAATCGAGATCATATGTTTCTTCCTCACATTCGGAAGCCATAATGACGTTTGAATCAACGACTTCTTCAATTCTCTCTATAATTGGGGCTAGTAAATAACGTTCCCCAATAGTGATTTGGATGTCCCTTTCGTCAGGTAGCGTTAACGATGCAACCAAATTAGCTAGTGCATCAGCTTTATCATTTTCTAACCTCGGGATGTGACTGATATGAATGTCTTGAAATTGTGACATGAGATATTTCGCCCTTTCATGGTATGGGATGAGAGTAGCATTTCTGACTGCGTATTGGCCATTCAATTGTCTGACGACTAACTGTGAATCACCATATGCTTGCAAGCAATCAATATGCATCTCGAGAGCAATTTCAAGGCCAATGATGAGATGATGAGTGCCTCATATTCTGCCACATTATTCGAACACAAGGCTAGTAGAGAGAATGAGTATGGGATTAAGCCCCCAGATGGCGTGATGAACACTAATCCTGCGCCAGCTCCATTTCTTCTTGCTGCCCCATCAAAATAAAATTGCCATGTGAGTGCTTCTGTTGTGAACACCTCTTCATCGGGCAAATCAGCAGGTAACTCCATATTATCAGGCGTAGGATGTGCGGCCAAGAAATCAGCAAGAGCTTGCCCTTTGATTGCTTTTTGTGGCACAAATTTTATCTCAAACTCAGAGAGGAGGAGTGACCACTTGGCTATTCGCCCAGAGAGCACAGGCTTGGACATTAGATATCGAAGTGGGTCTACCTTGGAAATCAAAATGACTTTATGAGCGAGGATGTAGTGTCATAATTTTTGGACAGCAAACACCAATGCAAGGCAAACCTTTTCGATGGGGGTGTAATTTTGTTCTTCCCCCACGAGTGTTCTACTCAAGTAATACAGCGCATTTTTTTTTTCCATCCTCATTGTGTTGGGCGAGCAGTGCCCCTAACGAGCGTTCTAATGCCGCAATATACAAGATTAAAGGTTTACCTTTAATTGGTGCCATTAGAACGGGCGGATTCAACAGATATTGTTTAATGCTTTCCAAAGCATTTTGACATGCTTGATCCCATACGAACGGAACGTCCTTCTCCATGAGCCTCGAGAATGGTTGACACCTTCCAGAGAGAATTGAAATGAACCGTCGTATATAGGCTAGTCTCCCTTGTAGCCCTCGCAACTCCCTTAAATTTCGAGGGGGAGGCATTTCACAGATTGCCTTAATTTTTTAGGGATCAATTTCAATTCCTCGATGTCGAACGACAAAGCCAAGGAATTTGCCTGAAGTTACCCCAAATGCACATTTTAAGGGATTCATTTTCAACTGGTGCTTTCGGAGTCTATCAAAAACTCGTTTTAAGTCACTCAAATGATGTTCTCTTTTTCTGGTTTTAACAACCAAATCATCAACGTAGCACTCGATGGTATTGTAAAGCATGTCGTTGAAGATTGTCGTCATGGCTCTTTGGTAAGTTGCCCCTGCATTTTTCAACCCAAAAGGCATCACAGTGTAGCAATATATTCCTTTTGGAGTACGGAAGGCAGTTTTTTCTTGATCCTCTGCAGCCATTTTTATTTGGTTGTAACCTGAGAATCCATCCATGAAAGATAGAGCACCGAAACCAGTTGTGGCGTCTACCAATAATTCTGTAATTGGGAGCGGAAACTCATCTTTTGGACACGCATCATTTACGTCTCTATAGTCCACACATATACGTAGTGCCCCAGTTTTTTTGAGGACTGGAACAATATTGGACAACCAAGTGGGATATTGAACCTCTCGGATAAAACCGGCAGCAATAAGCTTGTCAATCTCAATTTCTATTTGGATTGTTAGCTCTCGCCGAAAGTGATGTGGCGCTTGTTTCACCCATCGAGTCTCATCAGGTATCCCAAGTTTGTGAACTGCAACCTTTGGGTCCAAACCTGACATGTCTTGATAACTCCATGCAAATACATCTCGATATTCTTGCAAAAGTTGTGTGTATTCTTCTAATTCTTGCGGTGTCAGCGAAGCACTAACAAAGATTGGTTTTGGGCTGTCAGCTGTACCAAGATTAATTTCTTGGAGATTATCAATCGTGGCTTGACCTCCCTCCTCCATTTGTGGTGGAGCTGGCTGGACTATGTCAATGAATTCCTCGGTGTCTTGAGGATTATCATCTTGGTCCACTGTTTCTTCAAAAGAGGTGCAATTGACCTGCTCAAGGTCGTCATTTATTTTCACCTTTTTGACTGTTTTAATCACAGCTTTCTCTTGACTCTTAACCCTCCATTTCCTTTTATGGACTTTCTCTTTTTGAGATTTGGAAGGGTTTTCCAAGCGTTGAAAGACTGAGATGCGGTGTGGTTGTTTACGCCCTAGGCGTTTGAACACAAATGCGAAGCGGCATTGAATTCATCTCATCTTCTCTAAACATAGCTTGTTCCATATTAGTGAGCACTTCGAGCTCGGAAGCTTCTGGCTGTGGCCCTCGAAGAGTCACTTTGAGTACGCCACTCTCATTTTGAACTGTGAGGCCAGCATCGCTTTTCTTTGCCTTACGGCCTTTGAGCTTTATCTTGAACGGAGCAGACGTTGTCTCTGGCAATGATGACTTTTTGTGGACAACTACTCGTTGACTCGGGCCATTGTTTTTGCCAAAAGTAGTCGAAATGACCAGAGTACCCCCTGGGATAGACTGATTGATCTTTCGAAGAGGACGAGTGTAACTTGTTGTCATCAGTGACTCCATCGTTTGTTTCAAGGAGCCTGTTTCCTTTTCACTAGGCTTCTTTTTTGAAGTCTTGAAAATTATCTTTGGCTTGGGAGCCTTTGCAGTCGGGACTTCTTCAACTTTTGAGGATGACGCACCACGAGGTGATAGCTTCACTCGAATTACTCTTGAAGGTTCAGGTGCTTCTGCCTTTTGTGATTTTCCTACTTCGGCAGTCGCCCTTTTCTCCTTATCAACCTTTAATGGTTGTGTGAATGAGAGACTAGGTGAACCGTAAAACTTTGCATCAAAGTAATTTACCTCTTCGCCTCTGAACGGGTCCATGTCAGCTGAAACACTCTTGACCTCCCCATCCACCAAGTATTTGAAGCACTGGTGAAGTGTAGATGGGACTACGCCATATGTATGCAGCCACGGGCGTCCTAGCAAGACGTTGTATGAATATAGGTCCCCTATTTCCATTTGCAGTGCAATAGAGCCCATGGCTTTTTGCCCCTGTTGGTTGAACCCTTAAATAGTGAGCATAGAGGGAGACAATTGTCGGGCACTCATCCCTATAGCATGGAGTGTCTTTAATGGGATAAGATTCACGGACGAACCACAATCTAACAAGATTCGATTAATGGTCGTGCCTCCAACTTCGCCTGTGACGTAAAGAGGTCGGTTATGGAATTTGGACCCAAGTAAAAGGTCATATTCACCAAAAGTAATTGCTGCCAGACACGATGCACAAAACTTTGGGGTTTCAGTTGTGTGAACATCAGTTGATTTGAAACATGACTTGTACAAATCCGGGCTCATCAAAGCCATTACAAGTGCTTCCCTAAGCTATCTCGACATTTGTAAAGCGTCATAGACGCTTAAAGGAGCGGGAATACGCTTAAGATGAGTCAAAATATCATACTTAAGCGCATGTGATTGTGATGACTCCTTTGTTTTACCGGTATCGGGCTTAGGGTCTTTTTCTTTTGAGGAAGACGGCGGAACTTCCCCTGCAACAGTTTTTTCCGACGAGGAGACCTTAATCTCTTTTGGCTGTGACTTCTTCTCGGCTTTAGAAGAAACAGTTTCCTCATTTTGTTGTGCTTTATCAGTAGATGGGATGCTTCGACCGGAGCGGAGGTTAATCTCATCAACCTCTGTGTCAACCTCATATTCCTCCACAAAAACCATATTGCATTGAATGATTTCTTCGTCAACTTCGGATTCACTCGAGAAGAACTCAACTGGCAAAAACTCGGTGAGTGTGACAGGGACCCTTGCAGGTTGCTCATATTCCTCTTATTGAGGGATTTGAACTTTCTTTTGCACCCTTTTCTTCCTCCTCTTATTTTTCAAGGACGGCATGCCTCGAATCTTGACTCCAGGACGAGTAATAAATCCGTGATTGGGCGGGAAATGTTTGGCCATGTGCTTGGCTCTTTTAACAAATGTCTTCCACCCCTCAGTAGATTCGTCGACCGAAGAATCTTCCTATATCTCTAGACTGGGTGCAGTCATGAGCTCATGAAGAGAAGGAATTTGAAGATCAGTAGACCGTGGCATATTTAGATAGGTATGTGCCTCACTGTTAATGGCTGCAAATTTCGCTTTCTCTTGCAATGCAACAATGAGTGTGAGCTTTTCCTCAATCATATTCGTTGCAGCTGATTGATGTCAGGCAGAAGAGTCTATCACCAAACCACCACTGTTAAGGAGCTCTTGGATTTTATCCTTTAAGATATAACAATCTTTAAGTGTATGACTAACGAGGCGGTGATACCGACAATACTTGGGGTCATTTGTCTTGTTGGCCTCAGTAGGACACTTTGATTCTGGTAGGGTAATAGTATTGGAGGCCAGAATTTGGTCAAAGATTTCTTCTACATCATCATCATCGAAAGA